GTCCTTCAGAGGCCTTCTTTGTGCCCTTTCTTGGGAAATTATTCCTCCCTCTATCTGTCTAACTCCCTGCAAACAGGATACAGCTTTGATGAAATTTCTTAGGTTATTTCTGTACCTCATTTGGGTACCAAGCATGGCTACTAGTGTTCCTAGCATGGCTACTAGCTCCAACTTGGTTTGTGCTCAGAATTCCCATGCAAAAACAGTATTCTATTTTATTCTCCAAAGTGTCCCAGTTTGGAGAATTGGATTACAGTCATGGAATTCAACTTAAAAAATTAGCCTTGATGAGAAGGTCAGCTTGTGGCCTTTCATCTCAAGGCATCCCTGCCAACCATCAAGCAGTTATTTTCAGCATAGACTCACTGAAGCCAACTCTAAAAAGTTATCAAAAATTCTGAAAGGAAACATATGGTCAGATTGTGGTTGTATTATTGCAAAGGCCCATAGAGGCATGAGTCTTAGGAATTTTTCCCGGAAATATTCCCCTTTCAGTTTTCATGAGCTTGAAGGCAGAACAGGCCCTGTAACATAATAGTAATGTCAAAATCCAAACGCAGCCCTGAGATAGCTTTCTGCCAGCATATAATTCACTGGATAGAATTCAAAGCCTTTCATTTTTCATGACTCACCTCTAGGTGATTTGAGATTAGGTCACAAAAGAAACAGACCTACCTTTTCAATAAGGGCCAACTTGAATTTTGCAAGACAGTTTCTAGTGATAACAAACAGCACTATAATATAGTTACTGACAATTCATATTTCAAGTACATAATTTCTCCAACATTTCTATTTGAAGTGTTTACACCTCTGACAAGTACTTTAAAAATGAATCAAAATAAATAATATTGTAAAATATTGAAGTTGAAGGTGGAATTAAGATGGAGACTGGAATCAAAATATAAATTCAATTCTTAGTACATCTCTAGCAGTGTTTTAAGTTTTAACTAGGAGATGATGGAAGATGGGTCAATTATGATTCTATGTAAGCAAAATGAAGACTGACCATCCTGTCATATAGTGTACACACTAACAGGGATACTGTGTATGCCACTAGTGCAGGGAAAATCTAGTAAGGCAATGCTAGCTAGGGCTGTGACAGTAACCTCCTCATGTTAGGGTTTGAAGAGAAAAGGCCATTCAAAGAAGAAAAAAAATACAAACGGATAATAAACAAAAATTGTTAACTCTATGTAGTACTCAAACAATTGAAAATTAATATTCATGAGCAACATTTTTCTGCTGTCAACTTAGTATAGATTGCAAAAAGATGTTAGTAGCCACTGTTGGTGAGGAGCTGGGCTATCTCATGTTCTGCTAATGAGAATGTAAGTAACAACGCTTTTCAGGAGAGCAATTTGAAAATATTAGTGCATTCCCCCAAATAAAAACAGAAAATTCATTCCGAGGTTTCTGCTGATTTTTCTCATAGGAAAGAATTCAAAACCATATCATAATTTTGGGGCACAGGACCCAGGCAGCAGTTCTTCTGACACCTCCCTGGGTAATTCTGAGATGGCCAGGTTTGGGAACTATACCTTAACACAGATAGTTAACGTCAATGAAAGCTGACCCTGCTATTTTTGAATACTCATAGAAACACACACTCATACACATACCCAAGATGATAGAGTTAAATGTTAAAAGTATTTATTTCTAGGTAATGAAATTACAGATGAGAGATTTTACATTGATGATGATGATGATGATGATGATTTTGGTTAATTCATATTTTTCAAATGTTATACAATGGACTATGTTGCTTTAATTAATAAGTTATCTTATGAGGACAATGTTAATACACTATTATTGCATAATAATATTTCATAGTTACTTAAGCTTAAGATTTTGAGTACCTCAAAATCTTCTAAAATGAGTTTAAAAATGTAGATTCCTTTGTCTTAACAGAAACTAATAAAATGAATCTCTTATACTGGTTAAGACTCTAAAATATACATTTCAAACAAAAATCCTTAAGTGATTCAGACCTAGAAAATAGTTGAGAACACTGTAGTCTGCAACAGGCACTTGACATTTATTGAGATGCCCACTAAATAGATGAACTGTGTTACTGACCTCCTCTGAAACACAATCCAGTAGTTCTCAAATATTTTGAGCTCAGCAACCCTTTAGATTCTTCAAATACAGACCCCCAGAAGCCCTAATTTATATATGCAATTATAACCACTTATTAATATGTACTTATTAGAAATTAAACTAAGAAATTATTAATTTGCTAAACAATATTGAACTCATGATATTTTAATAGAAATAACTTTATGAAAAATATTTTTTTTCAAAACAAAATCAATAAGAAGAGTAGCTTTGTTTTGCAATTTTGTTTAAATTCTCTTTAACATGAACATTAAGAGATCAGTCTTACCTGCTTTTGCTTTCAATCTGGGCAGCATGTACTTTTAAGTGAAATAAGAGAGATATGTGGACTTACACAGATGTGAGCTAGGTATACCTGGAAAAGGGAATCTTTTAGGCTTTTTAGTTAATTTTGCATATCCTTCTTTGATACCACAACAAATTTCCTCAACTGGTAGTTTCTTGGAGGTGGACTGCCATGTGGAATCTAAAGCCCATCAATAAAAACTTTCTCAGGAAATTGCATTATACCCACTATTTGATATTTTTAATGAACTTTTTTGCTTAAGCCTGATTTTGTGACATAATGCTTTGGTCCTCTGGAAAATATTGGTTCACTGAATTATGCCAATTTTTTAAAAGGTGACACATTTCATTACATAATACTGAAATACAGGTTTGCTAAATCCCTACACATCTTATGAAAAAAAATTCTAAGTATCAGGTAATTGTCAATCTCAGGGTGATAGCTGCAAGTTTTCTAAAATGTTAGTTTTCACACAAAATCTCAGTTTTCTTTGGTAACAAAACCAGTTTTCTGTGGAATAATATATTTACTTTATTCATTCTTTGAGCAAGTGGCTTAATATCCATATCTGAGGTACTTTTGGGTCAACTGTTATTTTAGATCAAAATGGTTTTCCAGAAGAAATGTGCTAAGCTCTGCTGACAGTTCAAAAATTTCTCTAAGTCGTTTTCCCAACAAGACCACTAGATTTTGGCTTCTAATAATCTGTATGACAATGTAGAAAACATGCATGAAATCCTTCTACTGCTACCAGGTACACTGGAGACAAGATTTAATAAAATTAATCCTTGCCACTACTGTATCAAGGATATTTCTAAGGATATAGAAATAAAGACCAATGAAGAGTGCAATGACCACAGGTAGACTTCATTACCATTGCTTTGATTCACATTAAGATGTCAACACTTTTATCTACCATTACTTTGGCACAGTAAAAATGGTGTCATCATATATAAAAAGGCAAATAACAGCTTATTATTTTGGAGATAATTTTAATCTTGAATACCCATGAATGGATCTCAGAGACAAGCTGGGGTCTATAGATTCCACTTCCAGAAATTTAGTCCTGATATGATCAACAAGCTTAAAAGACAAATGCTCTTCATTCTTTCATTAAAATAATGCCCAATACTCCAAAATGATGGCACTCTTATCCCTAACACCTTCCAGCTGTTAGGAGCTGTGCTTACCCAGTATTCCTCCATAAATTCCCGAATCTGTGCCTGGATGTTCTACATTGTTATGGCTCTATAACGTAAAGAAATAATAGATAAGCCAGTGAAATATGAGTGCAAAAGAAAGGGAATCAATGTAGGGTTCTAAGCTTCACAGTGGGAGCTATTGTTATGAATTTACTATTTTATCCCAGCATCTTAAGCAGTGCCGGATACTTAGTAAACACTTGGAAATGTTTATTGAATGGTTGGTTCTATTGTTTTAATGAGAATTAAGTTAAAGGCTTTGAATGACTCCACCTTTTTTAAAAGTCAATTTATGTCCAAGCAAGACAAAAGCAGAAGAAAAGCAAATAACTAATCATGGAGTAGGTACATTGACTGCTTTAGTTCCATTCCATGTTAAAGACACAGAAACTAGAAACCATAGAAGAATTTCTAGGGGTGTAATTTACATTGAAGAAATTATTCTCATAATTAAAACTTCAAAAAAATTAAATCAGATGTCTGTTGTCTTTCTCACTATTTTCTGATTTACTTGGTCTGAAGATACTGATCAATTAAAGTCAGAAATTCTACAAGCCTTTACATTGGAAGTACTCACAATGGATATTATTTCACCTTTGTCATCACCACCATCTAGTGTCTCCAAATAGTAACAGCAGGCTTTACCCCAGGAAGAGTGGGCACCTTTGACTTTGTTATATTTTATGTACTTTCCTTAGAAGAGAAAGAGGGGAGGAATGAGAGAAGAAAAGAGGACAAAACAAAGTGTTTTAAGTGTACTTAAGATAATCCTTCCAGCAATTATTTTTACAAGTTTCACATTTACATTTTTCCATTCTCTTATTTGTTGTAATTTTGTATTTAACACACATCTGCATGGAGTCTACCAATATTATGTAATTTTACATTGTTTCTTGTCCTTTCATTTTTAGTATTTCTCTTTTCAGAGTGAAGACTCACTGGTGACACTTCCTGTATCGTTGCTCCACTGTATTAGGAAAATGGAAATGCATGATGAGCTCAATTTAACTTTGCATTTGGCTAAAACTGTTGAGTAAAACTGCATAAAGGTAAACAATGGACAAGGGTGATGACTCCACTACTGGGTAGTAACTAGTGATATAAATCTGAGAGACACAGAGACATATGGTTGTACTGTTATGATGTCTTCTAGGCATGGTGCATTCAGAAAAGAGTATGTAGATAGCCATTTGCTCATCCAACCAATGAGCTTTAGTAGAACTCAAACATTATTTACCTAATAGAACGTTCTCCATCAGCCTGTCTTAGAATTATGGAATTTCATCATTGGAAATAACTACAGCCAGGCTCAGAGAGGCTGAGGGAGAAGATCTCTTATTCAAGGTCAGCCTCAGCAACTTGCTAAGTTGCTGTGTCAAAACAAATAAAAAGGGCTGGAGATGTAGCTCAGATGTAGAGAACCCCTGGGTTCAAGCTTCAGTACCCCACAAAATAAAAGTAAGTTTACATTCACAATGGCAAAAGCTCAAATATATCTTCATGAGGAATATACATTCCTCAAGCAATTCTACTCTGACAATTTTACACATTTTTCTTTTTTTTACCAATCACTTATACTGAAAATACAGAGGAAGATCAGCTATTTTCAGTACTTGATAAAAACACTAATAAAGTCAATCAGCTCATTTCCAGGTAAGCACTAGCTAACAGAATGAGACTCAGTTCAAGAACATGGGCTAGTAAGCTGTGCAGAAGAAGCAGACTAGAGAGGGTATAGAGAGTCTGGCAGCCCATGAAAGAAAGCCAAGCAAGAGTGGGAATGAATGTAACAGGAGGTGGGAGGATTTGCATTATTTGGCAGCCTCCCCTTGCAAAAACAAACAAACAAACAAAAAGCCCAGATTTTACAGCCTGAGGTTTTGCAAACAGATTCCATACTGTACAGTAACTCCTTTTGAAAACCATTGACCCCTTAGTTAGACCTAAAGTTTTTATGTTCAGTATAGGATGATCTAACTAGTTTATAAAGCAATAATTCCAATGTAGATTCCAATGCTATTGTGAAATTCAAGAGTATAAATAGATTGTGTCTGGTCAGCATGTCCCCTCAATGCTTGACTGCACTGGATAAGAACCAAGTGCATCCCAATTATCCCTGGAATAACTCAGTCCTATGGACCTAACTCTAAGGATGGGCCATAAGGAATCACCACTCTTTCTTTACCAAAGACAGCTTAATGGACCTATTATGAATATACATATGCAGAAAGGTCCTGAACTTAGCTTACTACTCTGCTAGGTTTGTCTTGAAATTCTTAATAATTTTATCTATGAACTTATGTTTTTAAGGGAAGTCAATGTGACCATGGATATTCACTTGAACAGACATGCTATATACAATATTCAGAGCATTCAAAGCAACAAATAAGGTAAATATATTACATTTATGACTGAGAAAAAGACTACATTTTTCTATAGGAACTAAAATTTGCTTCTAATTGAGGAAAATTGCTTCTAAGAAAAAAAATGACCAACCAACACAACCATATCATGTGCACTCTTACACATTTTCTTTGTATTTGCCAATCATTTATGCTGTCAATAATGACACAGAAAGACATGTAAAGATAGAACAATCCTGTAGTCCTTTTTCTGTCAGTCTTTCCTTACTTATGAATAAGTTCAAAGTAATAGAAAATGTTAGTAGAATGCAGATATATTAACAAGTGAAATAAAAATAATAGAGATGAATTTATATAGCAGTTTCACTACTCTGGTAAGCATGAAATATATATGCATATATAAGCTACAAAATATAAATTGTATATTTCAGTGATTTTTCCATATTAGTGAAATGCTCACATGTGTGCATTTAAAACTGTCATTATACAATATAAAGATGAACACTAAAATTCAGGCTAATAATTGAAAATATTATTTTTTCTTTATATTAGAGTGACTTTAAATAGCAAATACAAACTAGTTAAACAGAGTCCATGGAAGACAGGAAAGTGATTTCTATTTAGAACCTTTAATGGGAAGTTTATCTTGTTGTTTAAACAAAGGACCTTGCATTCTTTCTTTGCATGGGGGCTCATAAATTATGTTCTGTATAATTGGAGGTTGTTCTACTAAACCTCTTGGGCCATTTAGGATGTGTTTTGGGAGAGTAAGGCAATCAAAATATCATCTCTTCTTTGGTGAGGACTGTTAAGACCATTTAAATGGTTTCCTATTATTCAATTTGGGAACCAAGGCTCTGAGAATCTGAGGCTTCCTTGGTGATCACCTCCTGTATGCAAGCCTCTCCCCTTGCCTCCAAGAAGAGATGTGTACACTGTCCAGCAACATAGTACAGACACCTTTGTTGCAAACAGTGGCAGGATGTCATGTCTCCAGGTGGGGCTATCAGACCAGTGGGGAACATGCAGAACACAATGCATGGACCTAGTCATCATATGCCTTGTCTATTAATGCCCCAATTGTTTGAGGATGTGGCAAAATTTAATACTTTTCAAAAGTATGTCAAGTACTGAGACCAAGTCACAGAGTCAATTTATTTTATGAAACAAAAATATGGTGTATGATGACATCATATTACATTTATATAAAAGTAGTATGCATATGAATTGAAAAATGTTTCCCAAAAGCACTTTCAAGTTTGTTCTCAACATAAAATGACTACTATAGAGATATTGTCATTAGAAGAAATGTCACAGTGATCATCTTCAGGACCAGGGTGGCCTTTCTCTTCCCTTTGTGCTGAGAACAGGAAATGTGTGAAATAGAATAATAGATAACCTGTGTTCTCCTCTCGACACAGTCACTGTAGCTTAGGACAGCTGCTCATGAACTAGAGAAATCACCCTAAAGAAGTGATATTTTCACTATTTAGAGAGAATTTAGCTTCTGCATTCAAAAAGCAGCCCACTCTGCCTGCTTCAGAGTAGATGTGCTTCAGAGCTCACTTTCAGCTTGTGTTATTCCATGTCAAAGGCAAGTAACAAGAAGAAAAATTAATTGATTTTTGAGAATCATGATTATTGAAATTATTGAGGAGCCGTAAGGTGAGTTTATCTCCAGGTTCTTTCTCACACATTTAAAAAAAATGAGTAAAACTGACTTGCCTTAGGCTACAGTGCTAGGAACCGGCAGGCTGGGAATCAGATCTTCTCCCTTTGCATCCTTCTTGCTTTTGTGCATACAGATAGGCTTGCTGCTCAGCCTTGGTGATATGATCCTCCTTGCTAAGCACTTACATCATTCTCTACAATCTAAAAGTGAGCTTTCTATTGTTTTAATTCCAAATAAGTGACTGAGTCATCTTGAAAGAAAATACAATTAGCACTGACAGTCCTATTAAACCCCAATATTTTATTGCTTGAAGAGCGAGATCAGGGAGGTCACCTATCTTGGGAAATGTTTGTCTCTATTGGGTGAATTCTTTGTGTTGCTATTATTATTTATTTGGATTATTAAGGGCTGCTGCTGCTGATATAAGCAAAGGGAGCTGCTCAGGAATGGTCAGGCTGCCTCCCTCCCTGATGTGGCTAAGTGGATGGAATTATCCACACAGATTCAGAGACCTGCTTATAAATGTCAGAATATACTAATGCACTCAAGGAGCAAGTAGTGCCTTTCCTGAGGGGAGAGGTGGGACTTCTCTTCCTTTATGTGAAAATTAATTGCTTCTTGGGTGGAAGAAATGGGTGGAACTCAGTTCAGCACAAAACACTTCCAAAGACATTTAAGAAATTACAGACTATTCATAGAAAGTCTTTGACAGGTTTAAGAGAGAACTTGACCTTCTCCTTGACCTCACCAGTTTCCACATCAATATATTTCCATGTAGCATAAATGTACTAAGTTGTTATTTCAACACATCCTTGAACTAGAATATCACCCAGAAAGTAAGGACAAAACTGTGTTTTAATCTTTAGCAATGTTCACTCATTTTAATGTGATTAAAAATATCATCCACTTGCATTATTACTCCCCGATTTTTAAACTTTTCTGTTTTCACCTACTTTACCCTATGTCCATTTGCATAAACATAGCTATGCCACTCAGTCTCATGTTATGAAGACTATTAAAAAACTTGAAATTATTAGATAAAATTGCTGAATAGGATTATCACATAAGTAAACAAGCCATCTAGAAAGGAAGATAAAATTAGGACTGATCATTCTATTAAACATGACCAATTTCTTAAAATTTAGGCTTTGATGTCTTTGATCTGACAGAAATTTAATCAAATATGATTAGAGATTTGTGATATCACTTATCTATTAGCACATATCATACAATATTTTACCATGAAGTAACTTCATTGGAATAGATAAATGGACACTTGTTCCACCAGATTTTTATATGTTTACATAACTCACGTTGATAAATATAAGTTAATAATAAAAAATAATTAGATTTCATGCTTGCAGTTTTTATGTAAGAACCAGAGAAATCATAAGGACATGTGACATGTACAAGAAAAGAAATTCTACAATGATAGAAGTACACTGTTCAAACTCTAAAATTCAATCAGATGAATAGAACCAGGTGATTTTCTTTTGTATTACAGTGTGTATTTCCCAGTGGGAAGAAAAACCTCAAAGATGTATTTAAGACAATAGGAAACAAGTGATTGAAATTGCTTGTAGATAATGCATTGTTTGAGATTTTAACTCATGATCCAAAGCATCATTTTATTTTCTTTGCATTTACAAGTCACAATTCTTGAAGAATTTCTCCAACCCTCTTTAAAGTTATCACAATATAAAACAGAGGGATGCTTTAACGTATGTGAGAAGCACACATTTTCTTTGATAAACACGGAAAAAATAAAATTCTCTTCCTGCCAAATTCTATTCTCCAGTTTATGGCTGTGTCAGTCCTCTTTTGGTTAGAGCCAGAGGGCATGGGCATGTTTTCCCTCTTCTCTATCTTGTTGGTCTGTACATTTGGCATTCATCTTCATACATTCCACTCTCTTCCCTTTCCAGTGCTGATCACATCCTCAATTTGCCCGAGGTGGGCTTTTCTGAAACTGTCTAGTCTCGGTCCTTAAGTCCTTCATGGACTCTATTGCAAGATTTGTTCAGAAAAGCCCATTATAATTGCAATATTCAATTATTGAAAATGTTTACTAGTTCCTGGTACCTTGAAAGTCAGACTCAGTTCCCTTAGCATCAAATTCAAGGTCTTCTTGTTGCCTGATTAATGCTCTATTCCCATTCCATTATGTCTCTCTTATCACCATCGCTCTTCTAGGTCCCTATCCTTTAACTCTTAGAACATATCCCCCATACCATACAATGGGTTCTAATGGCCTTGTCTTTTCCCGCAAATATTCATTCTTCCTAGAAATTATCCTACTCTATGTATTTATAATGTCTACCATGACTTTTTTTTTTCCAGTGCTGGGGATAGAACCCAAGGCCTGCTACACTAATGCTCTACTGCTGGCACTCAGCTACTTTCTAAGCCCTTTTTATGTTTATTTTGAAATAGGGCCTCACTAAGTTGCCTAGACTGGCCTCAAACTTGCAACTCACTTGCCTCAGCCTCCAGAGTAGCTGGTATTAGAGGCATAAACCACCATGCCTAGCAATATGTCTCTTCTCTGATTTAATTGTGTCTTCCTCTGCCAATAAGAAAAGGAGCACAATTAGCCTCCCTGAATTACTCAATCTCTGCATTGTTCTAAGGAGAGAGAGATGGTTGAGGCCTCCTGAAGCGGGTGGCATGCCTCAGTGTTCTTTGACTACAGTTACAGGCAGCATTCACTTCTTATGCTCCTTGACCTAATTCAGTCTAGCAGGCCATGGTGGTCAGAGGAATCTATGCTCATGTGTATTATGTAATGGATCAGGCCAAAAAAATCTGTGATAAAGATTATATTTAATCCAGGAAGTTAAGAAAAGAAATCAGACGAATTTCTAAAAGGAAATTTCTGTGCAGCTTGAAACTTAAGCCTCTCCCTATTTTACATGCACTTAGGGAGCTAACTAATTAAAGAAATCTCTGGTGGATCTCTTGTAAAGCGAAGAATTCTTTGGCAAAGCAAATAATCAACCCTCAATTTATAAAGTACTTATGGAGTCAGGTGTTTACAGTATCACCAAATGGCACTTTAGGGACCCCTCATCTTTAGTGTGCCTCTGTAAGCACCTAACTCTGAAGAAATTGGTAAATTTCTGGAGAAAATTGGGTTGTGGATGATTTAAGATGTTAATTTTGATCTTTTATAGAGGAATGTTAATAAGGTTATATTTGCTTTCCTATTTAAACCTTGAAGCATAAAGTAGGCAAAAGATTCTCCACAGGTAACATACTAATATTAAATTTCTTCTGTTTCAGGCAAAAGTAATAAAAAAGTTTCCTAGGATTAAAATAAAGGATCTCTGCTGTTATTGCTATATCTTTGATTTTTGGAACAAAACTTTGGCCTTTTCTCCCTCAGCCTAAATAATGATAATTTTTTTTCTTTAATTTAACTTCACTGTTTTTGTTTTTTTTTTTTAAATTCTTGTCTCAGAGGCCAAAGAACCAGTTACCACTGATTAAGAGTTAAAGTTCTATTTTTCTCTAAGTATTTTATTATCATCTTTAAAAATCTCTGGAGAACAAGTCCAATTATTATTTTGGTACTATGACTGTAGGAAAGAAAAGGGACCCACGTGGTCTATTCTTGTTTATTGGGCCCTATTCATCACAAATGTCAGCTCCAGAATGTCTGTAAACACTGTGATTGGGGTGGCCACCTGGGGTAGTGTGTTGCTGAGAAAGCACTGGGATATTGCCTTAAGGTTTTAGTTCCTAAGGGTGCATATGTTTACTCTTCCCTTAGTTTTACCCAGGATGCCTATATTAGTAGAGAGCTCTGATGGAAATAATCTAAATTCTGTAAAGCTAAAATTTTCTCAAACCATACGTTGGTCTCAACTCTGTTTTGCAATGTCTAGGTCAGTTTCCTATTGTAGAAAAATGCAACTCTTTTTGGTTGTGTCTACTTCTCTCCTCCGTCCCTTCATCCTTCTCTCTCCTCTTCTTCCTTTCCTTGCTTGCTTCTTTCCTTCCTTTGATTTCTCTCATTCTTAGGAAAACAAGTGTTGTTTCTAAAACTTGTCTATGAATTACATGTTAAAATTGCAGTGCCCGGAGAAGTGACATATGGTGAAAATCTTCTTCGTTAAAAAATGTCTAGATAACATACAAATTGCCTATGTTTGAGCCCCTGCCTACCTCTTTAGCACTATCTCCTTTAGACATACTTAGCTAATTTGAGTTTCAAGATTATGCCAAACTGTTTCACACTTCCATGTCTTTGCTTTTGCCATTTTCAATGCCTAGAAATCATAGATCCACTGGATGTTTTTACTGAAGTCTTCTTTATGTGAGGAATGGTGATGGGAAGATCGTGAGATACAGCAGTGATAAAATATTCACAGTTGCTACCCATGTGTGACTTGGTGTCCTCCTCCCTGGTATGATCTTCATGAATTTTGTATCTTCTGTATTCCTTCCCCTGTGATGTGTTACCTGTCCATTCCAGGCAAGACTCTACTGCATATTTCTTTGGGCTGCCAGTACAAAATTAATATTTCAGTCACAGTGCTGACCCAGATGTTTTTAACATGGCTGCGTGCCCGCCCCAACCCCCTTATACAACAGTGAAATTTCGATATGTCTTTCATGATTTTATTATTAATAGAGTGCTTAGTACAAAATGAGAAGATGGATGAATGAATGAAGAGAATGACCAAATCGAGTAATTGAGTTTTCTGGAGAGAGTAAATTGAATTTCAATTTGAATATTGTTTTACATGTACTAATTTAAGCCTTCACAAAGTGAATATTGATATGAAAGAGATAATGAGGGCAGATTTTTAAAATGTGAAGTTACAGAGATAAAATGATTGTTATATGCTCTATGAATATTATATGTTCTCATAATTTCCATGATTTTGCTGCCTGAAATATATGAATGATGACACTCTTTGTCTATTGTTCTCTCAGACAATCACAGTGACTAGTGGTGCTGTCTATAAATATATATTTTATTATAAAGGTAGTTACTATTAATATGTGGAGTCATTGAACTATTCAGAAAAATATGACGTTTTATTAGAGAAACACAATAGATTCAACATCTTTTTTGAAAACTAAAAAGTTGGCCTTGGGGAGAGAAGTTTCCTCATTCTTCATGAACAGAAGACAATTCAGAAATTTGCAGGCAGTTCTTAAGAGTACAAAATGCTGTACAAATGCATTTTAGACCTCAATGTAACTTAAAGGTACCGCCAATCCTGTGAGGCTTGTTTCACCAACTAAATATTTTTTAAAATGTCCAAGTAGGGGTAACCATGAAATGCTTTATTGAGTTAATGAGTTAACTGCAATCTCCTTAAATATGGCTTTACTATTTTGTCTAGCTCCACTTCTGAACCTGTTAGTTGATTACAGAAAAAATTTCAAAAGTAAATAAATAAATAAAATGATCAGATTATTTTTCCTCCTGCTAGCAAAATGAACCTGGATAAAGTTCATTTATCTTGGCAGTTAAAAATAAAGCAGCTGTCTTCAAATGTTTGACACTGACACGATTTCATTAACTTTGCATCCTTTCAAAGAGTCAAGTTGAACCATGCCATAAGTTAGGAGGAGTGACAACTTGGTTAATTAGTATAAACTGTTTTAATAATAAATGGAATGGATGTTCTGTAAGATAAGATACTTTCTATTTGTGGATATGGTCAAGCCTGGAAAGAAGAACAGTATAGGACTAGTATCTCTGGGGAACTGAGATAGGAACATTGAAATCCTGTGACTATAACTATACTTCAGATGCTATAAAAAAGAACAGGACATTCATGTGAATTCACTGCATGTGTTGGTTTACCCCATTATCTCAAGAGCATGAGAACACACATTTATATAGTTTATAAAGCATACCTTCAGTGCTATTGAGTTGGAGATTGCCTCGGAATGATTTCTTCGATTTTACAGTTATGTAGACTTCAGTACTGACCATAAATTATTCCTCAACTGATCATCATGTCCCTAAGAAGGTGGTTGCTGAAGCCCTGACACCATTTCTCACTTAAGATCCAAAGGATTCATTACAGAACTGTGCGGTTTTCAAAGGCAAAACACTATGAATGGAGTTTAACTCATCAGAAAAAGAACAGAATTTCTGCCATCAACCAAGACTTGGGTCCACTCCCCAGCAAGGAGGAGGCTGCTTGTCACGAGAATCCTGTGGGTGAACATTGTTCCATTGGTTCATCTCAGTTGACGTATATTTAGACATTGTTTTAGGAACAAAATTTTATTGTAACAAATGCTTAGCAAGATATCTACCTAATTAGGAAAAGTATTCTTTAGAAATGGAAATTAAATTTCAGAAGGGTATTTACTATAAATCAGTTGGCTACTGTCTTTGTCTTAGGCTTGTTCTTGGAAGTGGAAATTGATAAATCATGGAAATAAAAATATGGAATGCATTTATTTGCCCTTGGTTTTGCTGTAGTCCTAAAATTTAACAACATTATAGGACAAACATAACTATAACAAATGCTTGAGAGGAAAGGAAAATTGTGATTGACTTTGAGAACTTCTAAGGAAATGATTAGTGTAGTGTCAGAAACATATTTTTAACTGGAATTTCTATTCAGCCTTTTGAGAACTGCTAACTTTAATTTTCTTCTAGTTGCAAAGAAAAATATCCTCTGTAATATGACTTTTTACTTCTCCCTGGAAACAGTTCATGCATTTCAATATCTTCAAACATAAAATGGTCTTATTATAGTCAACCTGACTATCCTGCTGTACTGTTTAATTGGACATAATGATTTACCTTGGGCTTGTTGAAAGTCAATTGTCCAAAACTTCTGTGCTAAATGGGACTTGGATCATAATTCTTCCCTGGTTTCTTGTATAGCGCTTCTTTGTACTTCTGTTTTAATTATAATTTTATGAAGGATATTTGTTACAAATATAAATCCTTGTGGGTGGAGCATAAAACTTTTATTTATTCATCAACTAGTGTTCAACAAACCAATATAAGATATTGTTTTAAAACTGACTGAAGTTGATTACAATGAGAAAATAGATCATATATATATATATATGTATATATAGTAAATATATATACATATATATATATATACACATACACATATAATATATATATATCATTTTGTTTCTTCTATTTGTCCCTATGATATGTATTCTCTTCCTTTTCCTAATATCAAATCCAGATTTAACCTGTAAATTTCTTATACTCAGTGACAGGTGGACATGGATGGCATAGTGAATTCCACAGTGTACATCAGGTAAGATAATATCTTCTGGGAACACACATGTGGCTTAGTAGTTTTCTTTGAAACAAAATCTGACTGTTCTAAGAGGAAAGAGGGCATATTTCTTGTGTTAGACAGAGTTTTAAGATGACTCCCCCAAAATCTCCTATCTAGATTACATTCATTTTTTTCTGTTTATTCAATCTATAATCTATATGTAGATACTGAAGAGGTAAATGAGACCCTCAAACAATTGATTTTTAGAAAATCCTCATTAGGTGAGCCATCCTTTGAAAGGGACTTAGTTTTTCCTAAAAAAAAAAAAATCAAAGTATTAAAGAGTACTTTAGTTCATTTGTACTACCATTAAAAAGTAACAGATACTGGATAATAAAAAAAAATTATTTCCACAGCTATGGAGGCTGAGACATACAACAACCAGATTCTCTGAGGTTCAGTGTCTGGTGAGAGCCTCCTCTTTGCTTCCAAGTTGTCTCCTAATTGTTGCATCCCCCAGGGGGTCCAAATGATAGGTCCTCACATGGGAGAATGATGAAAGGACAAGAGAATACTCCCTTAAACGTCAAGCCTTTTTGTAACTGTTCTGACACCATCCCTAGGGCTCTTCCCTTGTAGGAGTCACTTTTTCCAAGGCTACATCTCTTAACACAATTGCATTAGTGATGAAGTTTTGACACAAATATTAGAGGGTACCATTTTCATACCATATCCAAGTGATTCAATGAGAGGAAAATCCACTATTGCTAGGTTGGGAGGTGGAAGAACCAAGGATAGAGAGCAGCCTCCAGGAGCTGAAAGCCAGTAAGAGAATTGGGCCTTATTTCTATATCTATAAATAACTAGAGTCTGTAAACAACCTGAATGAACTTGAAAGCATCTCAAGCTGTAGATGAGAATGCATTCTTTAAACACATTGATTTTGGTCATGTATAATCCCAAGAAGATAAGTTAATCGTGGCCAGCCTGGATTTTGACTTCAAGAACAATGAGCTAATAGAGATATTTTAATTCAATCTGCTGAATTTGTGGTGCTTTGCTATTCACTAATATAAATCTAACACATGTATACTATAGCTAAGTAAAGAACAAATATTTTAGATAAAAGAAAATTGCGAGGATTTACTGAGACAAAAATCAGAAAAAAAAAATTTATGTGAAGTTTGTAATTGTATCCTTACAATGTAAATTATAATAAACATCTTAATTAACTCACTGTCTGATTGGAGTCCACAGGCACACATTATAAAGAGCGTGTGTTAGAGCAGCTAGTAATAAAATCTTGAGTGAGGTGCCTTATCACTTTAGACTGCAGTTTCTTCATCTGTGAAATGAGAGGATATGCCCTGTCTCTCTGAGATTCCTTGAAGGTCAAGTTATCTTAAGTTTAAGTAAATGGCAATAGAGTGTATGAGCTGTGATAAGGTAGAAAAAAATATAGAAAAAAAAGACAGGTAAATTTCTTGCTATGTAATAAACAAAGCAGCATAATCTTGAGTGAACCATTTCATATCTGGGCTTTAATTCAGTTTTTTGAAAAATAGGAATGACATTACTCTAACACAAAGCTCTTTGTAAAGAGTAAAGGAGTTGTTTGGTGTTCTGTAATGGGGGGGGTGAAGAGTCAGTGTTACCACTGCTCTCAGGATGGCTTGGCTCTGGGCTGTGCCACAGCCTCTCTGGAGATGTTGGTCTTCGGGGTCTCTTTAGGGCCAGATTTTGGGCTACAGGTATTTTAGAGGAAATAGAAAAACAGAATTTCTGGATGGACTGTTCCTGGAAAGCTTTGCTAATTTGCAGCAGTTGGACACTGTTCCTCATTAATACCTGTCTGTCAGCAAAGTTGGGAAATCATTTCACTGTGGTGGTAGGGACTCAAGTCCAAATTATAAATAGAAAATGACCTGAACCCTACTCTTTTGATGATTTCAAGAATACCAGAAGTGCCTGCTCTTGAGACTCCTGGGTCTCTCAGCAAGATGTCTCTGTCCCATGGGCAGTATGTGCTGCTATGCCCATGATGCCAACCCCATCAGATATGGGCAGCATCCCCTGGAAGCCAGTGATTCCAGAGCACAAGTATCAGCACCTTGACAAGGAAGAGGAAGGACAGAACATCCCCAAATGCAGTGACTCTATCAAAGGTCACTGACTATACTGGTGAAGGCTAAATCTATTCATGTCATCATGAATACTCTGATCACAAAACAGACCCAGGAGAACATTCAGCATTTTGAGCAACAGACAGGGCTGAGAGAGACTGGCTATGTAACAACCCACAAGGGCCTACCACTGAAGAGGCCAAGCAACTCTAAGTGCAGAAGCATGTCACAAATTAAAGCTGCAGAGTGCAGAGATAACAAAAGAGGAAAGCAGCCTGCATCAGCCTCCTCTACCCCAAGTAGCATGCCTCAGTGTTCTCTTAAGCAAAGGCCTAGGGAATGGTTTAAATCTGGGTCCTCTGCAGCCTTACCCGACCCAAATTCTAGCACCATGGACCCTGGAAGTGGGGATAAGGACAGATTCTTATCAACAAATGGAACCTTTTTGGACCAAGACCCTTTCACAAATCTGATTCTGGAGGTTTAGCCAATTAGACTCATGAAGGAGTGCATCTCTATGGAGCTGATCTGTGCCCACACCACCCAGATGGCTAAACACACACCAACCTTAAAGTTACCCAACCTTCAAGTCACCCAGGGGATCCAAATGATAGGTCCTCACATGGGAGAATGATGAAAGGACAAGAGAATACTCCCTTAAACGTCAAGCCTTTTTGTAACTGTTCTGACACAATCTCTAGGGCTCTTCCTTTGGACAGAGGTATGTCCCAGTGACAGAAGGGAAGAAGCAACTGCCACAGATCCATCCTTAGATCCTGTGACTTGAATGTGCTCACACTCACTGTCTTCTAGAGGGATATTTATACCAGTGATTCTGGATGGGGTGTTTCTTGCCCCTCACTCTGCTTTCACTTTGGCTCTGACATAGCAATGATATATTTAATAAAATCTGTTAAACTGAGGCTAGAGCTGGAGATATTATTGATTCTGAGAAACACTGGTATAAACTTGTCCTTGTGGTATGGAAGAAATCCTTTTGTATTCTTTTAAAGTCAGATTGGAAAATCTCAGCAGTTATGTTTGGGGAACTTTATTTCCTATTTTTGTATCCTTTGCCCTACACTAGAAATTTGATCACTGTTTAACTAGGTAATAATATTTATGCTATTCCCCCAAACTAGGCTTCCTGATTCTTTTTACCAACATCAGTGTAACCAGTGATCCATCATGGCATAGAGGAACCTGGCAGAGACATGTTTGGGTGCCTTTGACCTTCTTGACCCTGCTGGTCCTGTGTTCACGCTCTGTTAGGAGAACCTAAGACTTATTTGGGGTCTACATACAGTTAACAGTCAAACTTGGATATTAACTATTTCTAGACTGAAACTGGATTCTCCTTGTTTTCTGGTCAATGTGATGGGGATGGCCTTGTCCTATAGCCAGTTTTTCATGCCTCTTAGTATCTCTTGGGTCACTGCTGTTAGAGGGATGCTTGTCTTTCACATGTCACAGAACAAACACTAGTCTTGCATATTGATAAATGGATGTTAAGTTTCATTTTGCTTTTTTGGGGGGAAAGGGGTGCTGGGGATTGAAACTAAGGCCTTGGGTGTGTAGGCAAGTGCTTTTCCACTGAGCTACATCCCAAGCCCCTGGATGTTAAAATTTTACAGTGAAGAAAATGGTAAGTACAGTTAGATTACAGACTTGAGGTTCATGTGAAATAAATGTCACTTTTTTAATATTTATTTTTTAGTTATAGGTGGACACAATATCTTTATTTTATTTTTATGTGGTGCTGAGGATTGAACCCATTGCCTCACACATGCTAGGCAAGCACTCTGCCTAAGAGCCACAACCCCAGCCCAATGTCACCTTATTTTGATTTCTTTGTCCAGCTCAGACCCTGAAAATTTTTGGAAGAATGATGGAAAAATTCAAAATTTTTCTATAATGAAAGTATTTTTCACCAAAAGATGAGCCTCATTCTTTTATGCAACATATTTCTTATTGAGGCAAATAAATAAACTGCCTTAATTTTTCCTCACTGTATACATACATGCTCATTGTCTTGAGCACTGTGTCAGATAGTTGCTGTTTGTTTGGTGTAGTATTTTTTTTTTATAAATAATTCTCATAGGGAATCCTTGGAGTCTAAAATTGTCAGAAAAATTAATTTACTTGTATCTTCTGAAACGATCTCTTGTTTTTTTAACCACAAAAACAGTTCTTAATTTTGGGGGGAGGGTATACCAGGGATTGAATTCAGGGGTACGTGCCTCTGACCCTCATCCTCAGCCTTATTTTGTATTTTATTTAGAGACAGGGTCTCATTGAGTTGCTGAGCACCTTGCTTTTGCTGAGGATGGCTTTGAACTCATGATCCTCCTGTTTCAGCCTCCAGAGTCACTGGGATTACAGACATGTGCCATCATGCCTGGCAACAATAAAAATTCTTACTATCTAAAACAAAAAGATATTTGGGGGAATTGACTTGAAGAAGGGCAGAGTAATAAATTCTCGCATTTTTCTCAAACAACAGAAACATAGACTAGTGAGCTAACATGAAGAATTTCAGACCTCTTATAACTAACACAAGTCATAGAACAAATTAAAAAAAATAATTCGTCAAATTTTCTCATTTGCGAGTGTGGTAACCAAATGTGGCAGAACTGCAGACAATGGAGAGAACTGACTATCTCTGAATTTTAAAACCACCATCCCAAGAGAACACTCGATACTATGCCCAAACTTTGAATTCCTTAGGAAGTTCAGAAATATGTAGGAATTAAACAACACTTTGCTAATTAAACAATGAGTCAAAAAAAAAAAAAAAAACAGGGAAATAGGAAATACTTCAAGATAAACAAAAACAAGTATTACAAAACTTATGGGATATAGATAAAGTGTACAAGTGGAAAAAATTATCACTATAAATGTCAATTTTAAGAAAGAAGAAAAATCTGGTCAGGCTCGGTGGTGCACGCCTATAATCCCAGCAACTCAGAAAACTGAGACAGGAGGATTGCAATTTCTAGGTCAGCTTCAGCAATTTAGCGAGGCCCTAAGCAACTTAGCCAGACCCTGTCTGAAAATGAAAAAATAAAAAGGGCTGGGGATGTAACCAGTGACAAATTGCCCTTGTGTTCAATCCCCAGTACCAAAAAGAAAAAGAAAAAATAGGAAAATCTCAAATCACCTAACATAAAGAACTATAAAAAGAACAGCATAGCAAACTTAAAACAAGTAGAATCAAGAAAGTAACAAAGATTAGACTAGACATAAATGAAATAAAACATGGGCAAATGATAGATAAAATAAAAATAAAAAGTCTACTTTGCATAAAAACATCAAACTTTCTACACATTACATTAGCAATGAACAAGCCGAAAATTAAATTTATAAAACGATTACTTTAAAAATAAAAATGAAAAAAAAATATACAAGAATGAATTTACAAAAGAAGTTAAGACAATGATAAACAACATTATACTTTTTTGGCAGGGGAGGTACTAGGGATTGAACTCAGGGACACTCGACCACTGAGCCACATCCTTAGCCCTATTTTGTATTTTATTTAGAGACAGGGTCTCACTGACTTAGCATTTTGCTTTTGCTGAATCTGGCATTGAACTAGCATTCTTCCTGAGCCACTGGGATTATAAGCATGAGCTACCACACCCAGCAACATTATACTTTTAAAAATAATAGTTTTCAATATAATTTATACTTAAATGATCTTGAATACATTTATACACATTTTGTGGAAAACAAAAAAAAATTGTTGAAATAAAATTTAAAAGATGCTAATTTTTGGAAATACATACACAGCCATGGAGCATAGAACTTAAAATTGTTAAGATGAAAGTACTCCTTAAACAAATTGATTTATAGACTCAACACAATCACTTTGAACATCCCAGCTTCTTCTTTTTTTTAGGCAGAAATTTATCAACTGAATTTATAAAAAGTTATATTTTATAAATTAATTTATAAAAATGCATTTAGGAATATACAAAGTAGCTAAAATTTTCTTGAAAAAGAAGAAAGTTGGAAAACTATAAAAAACTATATTTCTCTATTTCAAACCCCAGTGCAAAACTATAGTAACCAAGACACTGTGGTACTAACATTAGAATACAGAAAGAGATCAATAGACTAGAACAAAGAATCTAGAAATCAATCCTAAATTTAGGGTCAAATAATTTGAACATGGGTTCAATAAGGACAGTTCAATAAGGAAAGTATTGTCTTTCAAGAAATGTTAAGTGTATATCCACAAGTACTAAGATAAATCTGAAGCTCTACCTCACATCCTACAAAACACAAAATCAAAACTAAAAGAACAGCAGCTGGGGCTGGGGATGTGGCTCAAGAGGTAGTGTGCTTGCCTGGCATGCGCGGGGTGCTGGGTTTGATCCTCAGCACCATATAAAAATAAAAGTGTCCACCAAAAACTGAAAAATAAACATTAAAAAATTCTCTCTCTCTCTCTCAAAAAAAAGACTTTAAAAAAATTTAACATGGTTCCCAGATTTAATTCCAAAATTGAAAACTACATAACTCACAAATAAATAAATCTGCATTAAATTTAGCAACATTTTTTAGATATCACACTTAAAGAATAAGAGAAAAAATAAAAAATAAATTGACTACATCAATATATAAAAGCATAAAAATAGGTATAGCACTGATATGCGCTACAACATGGATGAACCTAGAAAAATATTAAACTAAGTGAGATAAAGCAGTCCTGAAAGGCCACCTATTGCACAAATCCATGTTCAGAATAGGCAAATCTGTGGAGAATGAAAATACATTGTCAGTGATGCTAATGCAGTTCTGTGAATATACTAAGACCTAGTCAACTGTACACTATAAATGGGTGAATGTTATATTACATGAAATATACATGAACAAAGCTACATACCAATGTAATATTAGTACTGGACACTTAAAATAATTTTTAAGAGAGTGATATAATAGTATAGTAAATTTATCGACACACAAATATCGAGCAGCTTTTATTTGTTTAAAAATAGCTGGCTGAAACAAAATTGAGAGAGAGAGAGAGACAAGAGAAAATACCAAGAATTAGAAAACAACTATATACACCAGTGGGCAAGTAAGAACCAACAGGTAACACTCATTAACTTCTACTGTTCTTCAGGCTTCCCTAACCATGAAACTCTGCCCTGCAATAGAATATGGACCAAGCACAGAACACCGAGAGGCTCCACTGAGGTTCCTGAGATCACTAATGGGCAGTTTACACCAAGTCCACAAGCCTTAAATTATCTATGTTTCTATTTGTTGAGGATAAAGACTTAAGCTACTCCATATATTATATCACTGAAAAAATATTTTTAATAATAGAATAATTGCATTTCAGTATCTAAAGTGTATTGTCTAATTTGTTACTATGGCCTAAGCACTTATCTATCTTACTAAAAATCTCATTGCCTCTAAGTTGTGATTATTGCTTTGACTTTATTTCCAGGCAGACATTTGTTTTGTATTCGATCAAATATTGCTTACCTGAATATATTTCTTTCATTTATTATGTATGCTTAATCTTTTTTGAGATAATAGTGTTTGGATTCTTAAAATTTTATTTATTTATTATTATTTTTTGTACTGGGGATTGAGCCCAGGGTGCTTTATCACTGAGCCATGTCCCCGGTCATTTTTTGCTTGTTTTGCTTTTCATTTTGAGGCAGGGTCTCACAAAGTTGTTGAGGCTGATCTTGAACGTGTAATCCTCCTGCCTCAGTTTCTCAAGCCATAGGAATTCCAGGCTTTGCATTGCACATGGCAGTGTTAAGATTTTAATGATACAAGAAATTAATTATATTTTTCCATGTTGCTCAGATGTATACATTCTCTTTTACTTACCCATAGGAGTTTTAAGATAAGATCAAATTGATTTCACAATTAAACCTTCCACAGCATTCACTTTTTTCCAAAAGTCAAATAGATCAACTCATATGGAAGAAATGATAAGGAAGATCCAAATTTTGGTAACTTGCAATGGTTCCAATGAATTTTCATCTCTATTTCTGTTTTTATTATTCTTGCACATTTTTTCCAATGTAAATATGGAATTGTGGGTTTTCACTGAATTGGAAACGATAGTGAATATTCTTTTGTCAAAATCTCTGAGAACAAGGGTGAGGATGCTCTTTCTTCCCAAGTGAATGACTTGGGTGCTCCATGCCCTTCGCAGAAGAGCTGCAGCCCAAGGGCAGTACCCTCTTCATGTGAGAGTAAATCAGGACAAACTTTACAGCACTTACAGGGTAGACACACATTTCCACTTGAAAGCTACAGCTGTCTTCTCTTTTTCTTAATGCTACCATTAGAAGACATAATCTATGCTTACCATTCAGAATCTTTTCTAAAAGTTGCCTATTTTAAGAACCTGCCAGGGTTTAGACAAATGCTGTCTATAATTTCCCCACATTTTGTGGGATATATTATTCAAGTTAAATTATAATTAACAACTGTGACCAAAGGAAAAAAAAAGGAAGATAGTCATTTGGGAAAAAAAGAAAAGTACATATGTTCTATGACCCAGAAGGGGAAAATAAGTATCCCAGGAGTTCTGGTATACCTTGCCCTTGGCCTGCATTCTCTCATGTCTGGTAGGCTGGAAATGGGATGAGGTAGGTTGATGTTGAGTGTTAATATTCTCCAAAAGGGTGCAGCAGTGTTAAGGATACTGTTGACTTAAGAAATGTATGCATATGGAATGATTTCAGGACAGTGATGTTAAAATCTATAAGAGGAACAGAGCAAACGAAGTTGCTAATGAGAATGATTTCCATGTTGTCTAAGAGGCAAGCACTAAATAAAGAATGGCAAAGGCAAGGAAGCAAATCACCCAGCTCACAGAGAAAACAGGAGTAATGAGAAAAGAGAGTGGCTTCTACTTCAGCAAGAGGGAAAACAGTTTCATGAGATAGCTTCAGAGCTCATGGCCATATATTAGTGGAAGCAGTACTATGGAAGGTCCATGGATTCTTACAGTGGATTTACATCTCTCTATAAAGGTGAGAGGCTGGGTTTTGAACTGCTCAAACTTGTAGTTAAGAAATTAAAGCAGTCCAGGCTAAAAGAGATTCCTTTCTTTAAATACTAATGACAGAATTAGAAAATGGTACACAATGAAATTTGTGCCAAAATATACATACCTAGTCAAGCTCTTTCATATTTTAAATCTGAAACAATACCCCACAAAGGCTTTCCTGATTCAGTCCATGGATGGGGTCTACAAGTTTCTTAAATGTCATCTTAAATATCATATACTGACTGTCAGGTGCCATGTTAGTGTTAGTGCAAGGAAGTGTGTGTGTGTGTGTGTGTGTGTGTGTGTGTGTGTGTGTGTGCATGTGCCATGAATACAAGCTCGCTGCTTAAGCAGTTTCTGGTTGTTTTATGGGTAGCACTCACATGAAAACTGACTTTCCAGTTAGCTGCTTTCATGGGTTCCCAAAGAGTCCAGCATATTATACACACGAGATGTCCTTCTTTGGTCACCTTCAGTTAGATTCATACTTAAGTGTGTAACTGTATTGATATAGATTACCAAACCTGCATTGGATTCAAACTTCAACTCCCTCTTTTATGCTATTCATGTCCTGCTTGCCAGTTTGGAAATATCTTATAGACGATGTAGTAAAAACACAAAATATAAAGTCTGTTAAGTCTGAGATCAAGTTTGATAATTTATTAACTATGTGACCTTGGCATATTTCTTAAGTATTATAACCTAACTTTTATTATTATATTTAATAAAAATAACAATATCACAACTTATTTCTCATGAGAAAACTTAAAAGAAAATATAATTTTTATGATATGATTATGTGCAAGTTGGTTAATACTAATCCTAATAACAACTAGTTTCTCTTATGGTGTTACTCAGCTTACTGTTACTGTAATTAAATAGCTAAGATAATTAGCTTATAAAGAAAAAGGGTCTATTTTGGCTCATAATTTTGGAAGCTCCAGTCTAACACCTAGTGGCTTCACAATTTTCGGCCTATGACAAAGCAGCACATGGTGGTGAGAATGTCTGGTAAAACAAACCGCTCACTTCATGAGCCAGGAAGCACAGTAAGGAAGAGGAGGACATCAGAGGCTCACAGTTTCATTCAAGGGCATCATGCCCCAATACCTAAGGTCATCCCATAAACCTTGCAAAAGTCCACAGCTACTCCCAATAGGATCACCTTAGAAGATATGTTTCTAACACATGGACCTCTGAGGGGATGTTTAACATTCAAACTAGAGCAAGGTCTTTAAATTAATTAATAATCATCATTAAGTCACATGGTATGAATTATTAGATGGAGCCTCTAAGTTGCATTTATGATATTATTATGTGCAAGTTGGTTAATACTTATTTTCTTCTTTGTTCCTATCCCCAGGCCTCCTCCATTTCTCCTTCATGCCTCCAATACTGGTTGAATTCTCCTGAAAGCAGACAGAACTTAATGGACATGATATTTAGAAAGGATATCCAATGGAAGGGACTGGAAGAAAGCAGTTTTGAACAAAGAAGTCCAGCTGTGAGCCACCTACATCAGCCTCAGCCAACCTTAGGAGGAACTGTATAGTTTCCGATGGCCCATTAGACCACTGAAGTGACTCCTAGCCAAGTGGCTGAGGCTGTGCCTCAGTCTCTGTCATTGTATTAGAGGTCTTGGTGGCTTTCTCTAGCTGAGGCAGTGATACCTGAAGGATCTGACATTGAGAGGCTGCCTGCTCCTAACATTTCCAGAAGCTGGAGAATAATGTTCTTCCTTGAAGGGACATTTGAGCAGCAAATCACAGTATTCACCACTGGCTTCAAATCTTATATATTTAAATATATAAAGACATATGTTTTATATTTTGTTCCTTACCATAACAGTTGTATCCATGGTTAATACAAAATTCTTTCCCATATTTTCTTCTATGTATTAGAATGAACTTAATACCAATACATTTATCATTGCTGTGCAAAATAAATAAATAAATAAAGATTAGCCTCTTTCCTGCACACTGGTTAGATTCTCAGACCCAATTAATGAATCATTCAGATGGAATCCTGCCACTCCTGAGTGCTGCCACTCTACACTTGTCTTTTTTTCTAAACCCCACCTGTCTGATTGGGTCAACTTCATTCCTGATAGCAATACAGCTCCTCCCCATACCTGCATTCACCCACCCTATCTTATATCTCCAGTTCTCATCTGTCTTGGCTTTTTATGCTCCCTACTTGCCTTAGCCACAGCAATATGAGCAACATCTGGAGTCAGATTCACCTTATAAATTCTTTTTTTTATTATTAGTTGTTCAAAATATTACATAGCTCTTGACATATCATATTTCATACATTTGATTCAAATTACATATAAGAGGAAGGAGAGAAATGAACTAACTTATAAATTCTTTACTCCAGAAGATTCCCAACTACGGTTTGGTGTCAAGTGCACACAATTGTTGCTTTTTAATTTTTAATATTTCATATTATATTGATTGTAGTTAACTTTCTGTCTGTCATAACATTTAATTCCAAATGAATAGGATTATAAAACAATCCTAAATTGTTTGGGAAAAATTGTATATACTATTTTTGGAAGAAGATACATACTTATCTGATCTCTTATCCTGTTTTCTCTTTTCCTATTTGAAAGGTCAACTCCTTACCATTTTAAACTGTATTTTAAAACTATCTCATTTAAAAAGAAGGAACGCTGTGAACCTCCTTGGCCCAGCAGTGACTTACTTATAAACCACAAAACACAAATGGGAACCAACTCTTGTGTTACCTGGAATGCTGGGTTACCAAAAGGTGTCTGGGGCCACTGTGAGCGAGGTGGCTACAGAGAAAACAGGACTCTATAGCCATATCTTTTAATGCTTTAACCATAGGCAATATCATGAATTAAATGCACATAATATTTAGTTTGTAAAATAAATTTCATTGCTAAAAAAAGAAGAAGAAAGGTATAGAGGAACAGGAAACTAATTCAAAATTTCATAATTACACAGGCCTGGAGCACAGTACACTTGTCCAAGATGAAATAATGTTCCGCATTTCATATTTTAGCCTTTCATCTTTTGGGTAGGGTAACCAATACAGGTTTAGTTGTTAGTTTAACAGCCCTGTGTCTTCTCACATTTGGCCTGGGCGTGTTTTCTAGACTTCTACTACCACTAAACAAGGTCAGAGATTTGACCTGGTCTGGAACCCAGACCCATGCCTCATAACTATCCTTGCTGGTGTCCTGGTCTTGGTTTCTGCTTATGCCAGTGCCATTATCTCCTTGCAATATATTTACAGATTAGCAGTCAAGTAATAAGAAACTGAATTGTACTGTAGCCAATCATTTGTTTTGCCATACTTAAATTTCAAATGGGGAGTTTAGCATAAACTAATTACTCTTGATCATTTGACAGATTGATTTCAAAGACTATGAAAAGAGTAATTTGAAGCATCAGGTTGCATAAACAATCACTGTTTCTCTAAGTCTGATTAATTCTAAATATAAATGTCTTCTTTAGCGTGCAAAGCCCTGCATATATGAATGCACACCCCTCCCTTAATGTCAAAGTGCTTTCCCCACCTGTCATGTTTGTGATTCACCTTAGTGGGCTGAGTATTTTGCAATATTTAGAAAGGTATCAAGTGAAGGGCTAATGTCACATAATCTCTGTTAATAAATTCACAAATAGCTATTTCAATATTAGTGTATGATAAATGAACCATTTATTTGAATAACAGGCTATAAATAAATAGGGGTTTTATTCTTATGCAATTCCCTTGGTGGGTGGATGGATGGCAATGACTACATTATATTTAAGACCCTCACAAAGTAAACTTAAGTCAAGATTAGAAATATAACCGCATTCATGGTTTACAAAGGTTGCTCTATTGCAAAAAATATATATATACATATGTGATGAGGAAATCTTAAATATATATAATACCAAAAAGATAAATACTTGGAGTTCACTTACTTAAAAAAAAAAAGATAATTAGATATTTAGTATCCCATTGTCAACCATATCATTACATATTATTGTTTATGTTAAAAATTATCAATATTGCAATGTATTTAATAGCAAAAGAAAGCACCAGAGAGCCCTTCCTACATGTCCTTCCTCTTATCAACCCTCCAGTTCTCTTTGTTCCCACAATACTAAATTCACAGAGGCTTTCTCTCTCCATTGTGCCTTCTGCATGACCCTTCTTTCCTGAGAGTCTACAGAATCCCCATCCCTTGTCATGACACATCCCTGGTGTTAGTAAATTCCTAGTTATATTTTCTTTCTCCATTCAAATGTCACCTTCTCTGGAAATCCTTACCCATATCCGTCACTGAAAACCCCATCCCAAGTGGGTTGTTTTTCCCATGGGTTTTCATAACTATACATCTTTCTAAATATATTTTCTTTGTGACACATCCCACTCTCTACTTAATATGTTCATGTGCTGATTTGTTTCAAATCATTGTTCCCCTGGGGAAAATGACGAGTTTCACCCTCTGTTGTATCCTTGGCACCAGCATAGTGTTTGATTTACAATAGGTGTTTGGGAATTAATTAATGCCCATATGGTTCTGGTTAAAGTAGTATATTTCCTACCTATTTGTTATGCCTATGTGCTGACACCACTTTTGCCTATAATTTCAGGGCTTTTAAATGTGATTTTTCAGTGTGATCCATCAAACGCACGCTGTTATTTATTTTAAAAATGCATTTAATTAGGTTGGAACCTTTTTTGGAAAATTTTTAAAATAAGAGGAATGATCTCTGTCTCAGTTGCTCACTAATCCTCTGACACCTGCTCGAACCTCTATCATAACTGGCATTAAGATCCCTTGTCCCTGATGAAATGTGCCCTTGCTCTATTGCCTGGTGTCTTGAAGGCAGAAGAGGGACTTTTTCTTCCTTGCATTTATTTCCCACAGTATCTGCCACAAGAAGTAGACCAGGCGATTGTAGAACTGAATTGATAGATGATTTAAAAAAGGCCAAGCAAATGTCAGGGTTATTTTGTTTGTTTTAATCAGTGTTTTTAAATAATTGCAGACTCTTTTGAGGGTTTTGTTGTTGTGACATTTTTCTGATTATAAAAAGTAGTCCAACTTACTGCAGAAAATTCAGAAGGAACACAAAAATAAAAAGAATTAAATTCACCTTTACTAACCGAATAAATCTGTTGTAACATGAACATTTTTCTATCCAGTCTGTTTTCTTCAAAACACCGAGGGCATTATGTTGTATATATATATATATTTTTTTTTTCATATTCAGTTTTTCCACTTAATATAAAACTATATTATCCTTGTTGCAGTCTTTATGTCAATGAATAATTACTGAGCACCTTTCATGTATTGAGTCTTATTGTTTTGTACCATGGGATATAACAGAAAAGAAAAGCAAAAATTCCTGCCCTCAGAGAACTTATATCCTACTTCAAAAGGCAAAAAGAAAAAAATATATACCTGACAAAATATCATGTGACATTAGCTACAGACTAAATTGTATATGCAAATTCTTTCTTCCAGCTACTCAAGCCAAAGCACATGACATCAGTCTAGACCCTTTTATTCTCTTTTATTCCCTTTTATTTTATAGTATAGAAAATACAACAGAAAAAAGTAGTAGTGTCTGAGTTTGGTCACACATTTAGACTGAAGTGACCAAAGAAGGCTTCAGTGAGGACATATTTGAATCAAAATCTCAAAGACTTGGTCAAGGAATGAATCATCCTTTGGAGGAGTTGGCAGGAAAGTAGAGAAAACACTCCACAGAAGGTATAACCAAGTCCTGAGAAATGTGTACCTGGCCCCCTGAAGGAGCCCTACGAGGCCACACTGACTGGGAGGGAGGGAAGTAAGAGAGATCAGAACTGTTCCAGAAGGACAGATTCTGCAGGCCTTCCAGGCCATGGTCACTCAATGGCTTCCGCTCTTGGTGAGTTGGGAAGCCACTCAAAGGCTTTAAGCAGAAGTGCACCAGGGTAGAACTAGTGTTTTGGCCAAATTTCTCTGGGTTCAGAGTTCAAATAGCCCAAAGAGACAAGTTGGAAACAGGGATGCAGTTGAGGAGTGACTACAATAAGAGCAGTGAGGACATAATGAGTAAGGCCAGAGAATGGCATGGAGTTGAACAAAACTAGTTGACACCGAATATGTTATTAGATCAAATGTAGAGTATAGGAGAATAAAAGGGTCTAGACTGATGTCATGTGCTTTGGCTTGAGTAGCTGGAAGAAAGAATTTGCATTTTTGAGGTGGAGCAGACTCAAGAGGAGCAGATAGAAGACAATGATGTTTTCCATTTTCCACTTCTTGAAGTTTGGTGCCTAAGAGGCAATGGCAGGTACAGAACTAGAATTCAAGAAGTTCTGAGGTAAAAATTTTGGATTGCTCAGCATAAAGATTATATTTTCAATAAATTTATTCTCATGGATCCATCCTAATTTGTATTTTTTATCATGTGCTTTCCACAGCTTAGAATACATGAGGTAATGGATTTGGAATTTTCTGATTTATACATATAAATTATTTTCCCACAATATTGTACCCATTAAAGCTTTATGTATGCATCGTCATTTTGTGTCTTTGGACATGCTAATTGAAGACATAAAAAATTACAAAGATGCATACACTTTTTTACCTTCATTGTGCATTACTTTGGATGAATGATGACAATATATTTGGTTAGAAATGAACATAGAAACAGGATTTTATCAAATGCAGCAAAATCTACAAATACATAAATTATGGACATATATATATATACAAAAATAGGCAATCAAATAGGCAATCAATCATAAACAGAATAATTGGTAACTAGATGCAATTTACAGAGGCAAGTTCATGTTT